TGTTAACAACTAAAGCCCAAATATGTTGCATTAATCTCTTCTCCTTCTTATCACATACTCTCTGGCCTGGACTTTAATACACATTTCCTACCGGGTAACATGAAATCCACCTCACATTTGTAAGTTTTCCAAGCTTTTCTCATTGGCCTCATACCATCTTGACATTCTGGCATTGACTTAGATAATAACAAATATTTAGTAATGTAATATTTTGGCACATGTACTTCCCTACAATTATATGGCTAGTAGGAAAAAAAAGGTCAGCTGTGTAATTTAATCTGATGGTGACTAAAATTAAGTAGAAAAACATCTAAAAGTGCTTTTGAAATAAATAGATCAAGTGAAGGAAAGAAAACTCACTTTAAAGACAAGAAAAGGAAACACAAAATGAATTTTATGTAAAGAAATAGTCAAACAGCAATAACTGTCTATAAAATTCATGGACATTGAACATCAGGTTCTTTGCATATATGTATATATAAATCAAAGTCTAAGCCTCAGCAAGACCCTAAGTCAACTTTGTGAAGGCTGAGAAGGGTAAAGAAACTGCAGAAGAAAAGTTGGAAGATAGTGGAGGTTGTTGGTTCATGAGGTTTGAGAAGAGAGGTCATCTCCGTAACATAACAGTGTGCAAGGTGAAGCAGCAAGTGCTGATGGAGAAGCTACTGCAAGTTATCCAGAAGATCTAGCTAAAATAATCAGTGAAAGTGACTACACTAAATAACTGATTTTCAATGTAAATGAAACAGCCTTCTATTAGGAAAAGATGTTATCTAGGACTTTCCTAACTAGAGAGAAGTTAAAGCCTGGCTTCAAAGTTTCAAATGTCAGGCTGACTCTCTTGGAACAAGAAAGTGTAGATGACAACACATCTGTTTACAGCATGGTTTACCCAATATTTTCAGCCAACTATTTGTTTTGTTTTGTTTTGTTTTGTTTTTGAGATGGAGTCTCACTCTGTTGCCCAGGCTGGAGTGCAGTGGTGCAATCTCTGCTCACTGCAACCTCTGCCTCCCGGGTTCAAGCAATTCTCCTGCCCGAGTACCTGGGACTTCAGGCACGTGCCACTATGCCTGGCTAATTTTTTGTATTTTTAGTAGAGATAGGTTTTCACGATGTTAGTAGAGACGGGGTTTCACCTTGCTATCGAGGCTGGTCTGAACTCCTGGGCTCAAGTGAGCTGCCTGCCTTGGCTTCCCAAAGTGCTAGGATTACAGGCATGAGCCACTGCTCTTGGCCCCTTTTTTATTCTTTATAACCACTTTATGAGATAGGCATTACTTCCATGTTATGACAAGGAAATTAATATTGTCATCCTTGAATCTGCTCCATTCATCTTCACCTACTGCCCATGCTAAACTAATCCAGCTTCACCAGCTGTATGCAGGGGCTGCCCAGTTAATCCCATCTCTTCCTTTCTCCATGGTGTACACTGGTAGCATATAGAGCGTGATTCATGGGTTTTGCTATTCCTCTGACTTTGTAATAGTTTCTAAAGGCAATGAAGTCTTTATTATCCTTTTTTTTATATTGTCTGATTTTGTGCTTACCTCTTTCCACATTGGGTGATCCTAAAAAAACAGCAATGTGCCTTATTTATTTTGGTATGTACAGAGATTAATACTAGTAGTTATTCAAAATAAAAGTACTGAATCAACTAACAAATGAAAGAAGATTATAACAGAAACAAAAAGGTATTTTTATTAATATTCGTTACTAATTTCAAAGCTTTTCAGTAGGCTATTTCATTGCAGTCATGTTTTTCACATTCTTTTTTATATTATGTTATTTATTTATAAACCAAAATAAATCATTTATAGAAAAAAATAACTTGAATTAACATGTGATCATGTTCAGACCCCCTAGTTTGCCATTAAACAGCTGTGTGTGGCCAGGCACAGTGACTCATGCCTGTAATCTCAGCACTTTGGGAAGCTGAGGCAGGAGGATCACTTGAGGTCAGGAGTTCAAAATCTGCCTTGACAGCATAGTGGGACCCGTCTCTACAAAATATTTTAAAATTATTCAGGCATAGTGGTGTGTACCTGTAGTCCCAGCTTTTCAGGAGTCTGAGGTGGGAGAATTGATTGAGCCCAGGAGGTTGAGGCTGCAGTGAACCATGATCAGACCATTTACACTCTAGCCTGGATGACAGAAAAAAAAAAAAAAAAAAAGAAAAGAAAGCTAAAAAGCTATGTGTATTTATGCGAAAATTTTACTTTTTTCTTCTTATATTTCCCTTTATTTTTTTTTCTTTCCTTTTCTTTTTTCTTTCTTTCTTTCTTTTTTTTTTTTTGAGATTGAGTCTCACTCTATTGCCTAGGCTGGAGTGCAGTGGTACAATCTTGGCTCACTGCAACCTCTGCCTACAGGATTCAAGTGATTCTCCTGCCTCAGCCTCTTGATTAGCTGGGATTACAGGCGCGCACCATCGTGCCTGGCTAATTTTTGTATTTTTAGTAGAGACGGGGTTTCACCATGTTGGCCAGGCTGGTCTCGATCTCCTGATCTCGTGATCCACCCACCTCAGCCACCCAAAGTGCTGGGATTACAGACGTGAGTCACTACGCCCTTTCCTTTATTTCCTATTTCTAAAAAGTGGTTTTTAAAGGCAAATTCAATTCTATTACCCTTTCTAAAAAGTGACCTTTAAGGTCAAATTCAATTCTGAAATTCTATGATAGTTTTTAAAGTATGAAGTTTAGTTTTGATAATGGATTCTGTAGTATTTACCTATGATTTTTGAAAAATAATCTATACATTAAAATTCGTGTTTAAAAATATCTTCACTCTTTCTTTAGTAGATAAAAGATGTCCTTAAGTTTTTTGGTAGAAACATATTTTTTTATTTTGAGATATGATTAATAAACATTGGTAAATTGTCTCCTTGAATATACCTCATCAGCAATCTAATTTAATGCTTTATTGAATTGCAATTTTTTAAGCCGTATCCAAATTTCACTGCTAGTAAGAGCAGTGTCTTAACTGACTTTTCAGTGATGTAATCAGTAACCAAAACCAGGAAGGAATGATCAGTCTGGCAGAAGAAGCCAAGTTGATTTCTTTATTACCTCTTGGAATTTTGCTTTATTTGAGGGACCTCATATATTAACGCAAAACTCTAAACTGGTGTGGATATGCATTTTTTAAAATCACTTCAATGTCAAGTTGTGACTTTTATTTGTTATTTATTACTGGAAAAGGAATTGGTTATTGCTATGCACCTCAAATACACTACATCATTTTTCTTCTTCTTCTTTTTTTTTTTTTTGAGATGGAGTCTTGCTCTGTCTCCAGGCTGGAGTGCAGTGGTGTGATTTGGCTCACCGCAATCTCCTCCCGGATTCAAGCAATTCTCCTGCCTCAGCCTCCCAAGAAGTTGGGACTACAGGCATGTGCCACCACACCTGGCTAATTTGTGTATTTTTAGTAGAGACAGGATTTCACTATGTTGGCCAGGCTGGTCCCGAACTCCTGACCTTGTGATCCACCCACCTCGGTCTCCCAAAGTGCTGGGGTTATCGGCATGAGCCAGCGCGCCTAGCCCATTACATCGTTTTTCTTATCATGGTAACCAGCATGTGTAGATTACAGTTTCCCAGGCACTTTTATTTTCAAAAGACTAGACTATGGCTGTCTTCCTATTGTGTATCCCAGCAGCTAGTCTTGTTACAGAACCAAACTGGGGTCCTCTTGTCCAGCACAGTAAGACCAGATAGCCACACCACAGTTTGCATCAGTAGAAAGGAAGGTGTTTATTTGTAGGGCGGCAAGCAATGAGGACTAGACAGTTCACGCTTAAGTCTCAGCCTCGTTGATGGATTGCAGGTAAGAGTTTTTAAAGGCGGGGTAAATTTCAGGAAAGCAGAAGTTATAGGCAACATGGTATGTCAATATATTTGCATTGGTTTTGGCCTTAAAAAGATGGATAGCTTTAAGGGAGAGAGGGCTTACGTATCATAAATAGATTCAAAGATTTTCTAATTTGCAATTAGATAAGTAAGAAAAACCTTGTTTAAAAATGTGGGGTCAGCAGATTGGAACGTTAGCTCTGGCTCCCGGATGTGACTCCCTCTTGGCCCCTCAGAATGAAATGTAAAACAAAGAACAGTGGTCCGAGTTCAGACTTCAGTTCCTTCTTATCTGAGGTCTACATGCCAGCAGGTTCATTTGGTGGGGGTCTGGGTTTCTGGAAAACAACTCAGAGACATATGTTGTTATCTTCAGTTTCTGTAGGAGAACCAAACATCCCATGATTGAAGCTTTCTTGGCTGTTGTTTTAGGCTACTATTACTTTCTTGCTTTTCAAGTTGATTATTTACTTCTTAGGACTAGCTAGGCACTTGAATTTCCCTTGAAGGAGCTCAAGATTTCCCTTTATTTCCATGCTTGGGTGTGGAGAGGTGCAGGCCCCTAAGAGGGGGGTCTCTGCTCCTTTTCAGTTTAGAGCCTGACACACACACATAATGCCTGATTCAACAAATACTCACTTCATGACAAAATGAATGAAAGCACGCTCATATTTGATGCTCACATTATTCCTATTAGACAGATGAGGAAAGAAAGATTCATTAAAGGATTATTGCACAAGGTCACAGAGATGATAAGCAACAACACCAAGATTTAAACCAGATCTTCTGACTGGAGAGCCCTAATCTTTTCAGTGACTCCAGCCTGCTGCTTCTATTAAAGTTGTACATGTTTTTAGAGCTGATCTATCAAATCATGTTTGTTCAGAAGATTTTATGATAAACACTTCATACTTTAGCACTTTTATGATATTTAGAACCATAAGACAGACTTAAACTTCCTCAGCACAAAAACACCAGAAAGGCCCATTGAGAAACCTGCTGCAAATTTTAATGTGCATCTGCAGAGGATTAGGGTCCCCATAAACATTCCGGGGCATTCCCCAGGGAGTTTCGTGGAATCCTATTTCCCAAAGCTGTTCAGAAGTTCCTCGCAGTCAGGAACATTTTTGTGCTGCTTAGGCAAGTATGTTATCTGCAGACTGTAATTTCTCAAGTCCAAGGAAGGGAAATGTTGGTGACAGAAACTCACTCTGGGGACTTCATCTACGGAAAGAAAGCTCACTTATCACAAACAAATCATTTCTAAGCGAGCAACAATTTTGTTGACTACATTTAAAGACAGAAACACGCAGTTCCCAAGTGCAATTTCAGTTTTCCAAAGGACAGTTTGATTCTTTTTCAGAAATGCCTTGGTGATTATTTTTTGTTGTTTTGTTTCGTTTTGCTTAGAAGGACTGCTTAGTGTGCCTCTTTAGTCAACATGAAAAAGAAGAAAAGAACAAGTAACTGAAGGATCCTCTGATGGCCTCAAGGCAGTGGATTGAGAATATCTCTTAAGTACAAGGAGGTATTCTAGGTAAGACTGGTAAAGACTTTTTAAATCGGGCTCAAATACTCCTCAAACACTGACACAGTCAGATGGATTCAGATTAAATGCTTTTTTTTTCCCCCTAAAGATTGTCTGTTTTCCATACTGATTTTGCAAAATCCCTCTAAAGGTGCTGAAATTCCCATAATAAAATGTTAATCTCTTACATTAAGAATTGGATGAAATTTACTTATAGCAGACAATCCTGGGTTCTATTATGTTTAGTATACAGATTTTTTTCTTTTGACAACTGCTGTTTTAAAACTCATGATATTAGGTTTCAGGATACATATTTTATAAGATACAATATATATTATATATCATAATATATTACATATACATATATGTATGATAACATAGACATATAATATATTATATTTGTACATAATATGTATATATAATATATTATTTATACATAATATGTATATATAATATATAATATATTAGGCTTTGCAGGCTATGTAATCTCTGTTACATATTCTTCTTTGTTATTTTTACAGCACATTAAAAACGTGTGCAAAACACTCTTAGCTTTCCTGGCATATAAAAACTGGTCATGGACCAGATTTGACCCTACTGTGCCAGCACCTAGACAGACACATGATATAATCATTGCCTTTGATGCAGTTGACAAAAATATATATATAATGTATATATAATATATAATATATTTATACATGTTATGTATGTATAAATATAATATATTTATACATGTTATGTATGTATAACATACATAATATGTATATATAATATGTTTTTGATATATATAATATATATATATATGTTGTGTGTTTTTTTGACACAGGAAATAGTACCAGGGCTAGAAATTACATCAGTATCATAGGATATTTTTATGCTGTTTTGGCTACTTTGTATCCTTCATATATATTCCTTGTAGGTAGGACATACATGCCTTAAATATGTGTAATTTTTTTAGAAACTTGTGATTTTCTCAGCTTAATAACTTTGTAACTAACTTTGTACTATTTTAAAAATATTTATCTGTAAAATTATGCACCACACTTGCAGAAAAAACTGTTTGGGATATTTACTGTGTAAAAATGAAAGGTAGGCTTACATTTTGACTTTTCCTGGGTGGGGAGGGAGGAGATACCACTACATTATGAGGTTTTTCAGGGAATACACTCTATGTTGCTCAGATCTGTATCCCCAACACTTAGTTTGGCGACTGACCGTATTAGACACTCCATAAATTTTTGTTAACTAACTGCATGAAAGGCAATGATTATATCATGTGTCTGTCTAGGTGCTGGCACAGTAAGGTCAAATCTGGTCCATGACCAGTTTTTATATGCCAGGAAAGCTAAGAGTGTTTTGCACATTTTTTTAACGTGCTGTAAAAATAACAAAGAATATGTAACAGAGATTACATAGCCTGCAAAGCCTAAAATATTTGCTATCTGGCCCTTTACAGAACAATGTTTTCAGACCTATCTTTATTCTTAAATATACTCTTGTTTTTACATACACTTCAGTCAGAGCTCAGACCAGTCTTGGAGTGAGGCTATCCATGGAGGTGGACTCTACTAATTGGCTATTCAAATTCACTCCCTTTCTCTCTTGTTAACAGAATCCCTATTGCGTTTGATTGACAACAGAACTGCTATGGATGAAACATGGCAGGTCAAAGCCAGTTTTGGCAATTTCATTTGTCTTTCCTAGTGATTTGTCTAGAGTCAGCATGTGACTCAGCTCTGGAAGATGAAACCTAAGGGGAAATGACCAGATAGATTTCTGAGAAGGATTTCACTCCTCTTTTAAAGGCAAACATACATAAAGGAATATATGTGTTTGCTTCCACTCCATTCTGTTAAATGAAATTTAGTCTAAAGTTGCCTCTTTACATATTTTAAATTGAGCCTAAGGCTTTCTCTGTACATAGTGAACTATAACCTAAATAGAGGTGTAAATGGACTCAAATCTACTCTTGTGCCAGTCACTGAGTTCTGGCTAATCATAGGGGGGCAAGTGTTTAAACCATTTTTAAATAAGGCAAATGCTGAGCTGTAACCCACCTGGCTGTTTCTGTACCTCGCTTCCATTTTCTGTAGGTCACTTTCCTTCTGTCCATAAGTCTTATGTCACCACATGCTTGTGCTGGAGTCTCTGGGTCTACTCTGGCTCAGGAGGATGCCCAGTTCATGACTTGTTCTTTGCTCAATTCAACTCTGTTAAATTTTATTTGTCTAAAGGTTTTTTCTTTCAACAATTCTTTCTTGCTTGGGATTTAGTTATGTGAGGTTGTGTTTTGCCTCTTTGGCAGTCCTCTTTTGACCAAGAAAGAAAGCCAAAATGATTCAAAGTGATGTTGAGCTAACATTCTGTCACTGTTGTGGTGTTGAATTGACCCTACAACTGAGATGAGATTGTTTCCTTGACCTTGACCCTCTTCATGGGTGGGAACTGGATGACTCATTTCACTCAGTCCGCTGCTGTCCACTCCTTGCAAGAGGGAGCATGCAAGCAAGTGAGTGTGGGACCAAAGCAAATGAACGCTGGAACCGGCCAGTTGGTCCTCTCTGGCAGGAGCAGGCTCTGTGCAGGCCCCACAGCAGTGTCGCAGCCCCTGCCCTCTCAGCACCCAGGTTGTTGTCCAGTATCCAGGAAGAATCAGGTTACATGAATGGATTGAAGGGTAGTGTATGCAGAGGATTTTACTGGGTGATGGAAGTGGCTCTCAGCAGAATGGAAAGTTGGAAAGGGGATGGTGTGGGAAGGTCATCTTTCCCTGAAGCTTCGCCATCTGAAGTTAGCTGCATCTATCTGTAGTCTCTGAATCTCATTTGCTTCTCTGCTTGCTTCTCAGCTTGACACTCAGCCACTTGTTTCCCTCATCCTCAGCTGCTTGTGTTGCTCTGCCAGCTGAAGTCTTTTTATGGGCACAGGATAGGGGTAGGGCAGACCAAAAAGAAAAACAACGACATTTTGGCAGAAAAATGGGGTTGGCTATTTTCACTTAGGGCTGCGGTTCCAGGCTTAAGGGTGGGGTTTAGCTGGGATCCCAGCCCTTCTATATCATAACTACCTATCTCTAGCCTGCTTATGAAACCACCATTGCAAAATTGTAACTAAGACAGTGAAAGAGATTTGACCTAACCAACTACATCTTGCTTCTGATCTCCAAGCTATCCTTGTTCTTTCCTGGGCACAGGCTGAACTAACTTCTGGAGGAACTTAGTTTATAGTTTAAAACAAAGATGATAACAGGCCTTTACCAAGGGAAATCCCCTTCTTGCCTGGGGACTTGACTGCCACTGTAGGTTGAACATATTAGCCACAAGATTAGAAATTACGGTTTAAGTGTCATGTAGCTGGAGGCTACAAGATTCTGACCCTCCTTAACCTGCTTGTAAGATCAGTGCTTGAGATATTTTGCAGACCCTGCAACTGATGGATCAGCTGGCACCACCAAGATCGATAAACTGGCTCATCTGATCTTGTGGCTCCCACCTAGGAACTAAGTACAAGAAGCATCTCTTACTTGACCAATCAGCACGCCTGTCTCATTGGCTTCCCCCCACCCACCAACTTGTCCTTAAAAACCCTGATCCCCCGAACCCATAGGGAGACTGATTTTAGTAATAATAAGACTCCAGTTTCCTGCACAGCTGGCTCTGCATGAATTATTCTTTCTCTATTGCAATTCCCCTGTCTTGATAAATTGGCTCTGTCTAGGCAGTGGGCAAGGTGAACCCACTGGGCCATTACACTTGTGATAAGATAAAAAAAAATCATGTCTTTATGCTTCAGGCTATTGTTAATTCTGTATGCCGATACTTTCTGCTAAAATATACTGATTCATTCAGTTTTTAGATCTATTATAATGAGTTCAGTGAATTTATTGAAGTTTTTTTTTTTTTTAAATGAGAAACTCTCAAATTACTTGGAGTCCTAATTGGTTATAGTATTATCCAGACAGGGATTAGTGTAACCTGGTACTGCACAATCTTGGACATAGCCATTTTGGTTCGAATTTATATGAGAAAGGTAACCACTTGGAGAGCAGAGTGAATTCAACCATGAAAAATCAATTTAATTTCTTATCTGATTAAGAAGTGTGTGTGGGTGTGCTTATGCATTTGTGTGTTCAGTATTGACAACTGTAATGAGATTCAGAAAATATTATTAATTGTAGAGTTTATTCAAGCACTAAGCTTGAGGATGGCCATCTGGGAAGCAAAGATTCCAAAAAATGGAAATCAGCTTTCCAAAATGTGGAATTTTGGGGGTCATCTATGTAGATAACACTTAGGCAAGCTTAACAGAATTTCAACATCTTTGACTATAAGGCTTAATGCATGGTTACAATGATCTGATTGGTTGAGGTGGTCTTTTTCTTTCAGGAAAGGCATATTTGATTTCCACACTGAACATGTGACAGTCATGGGGTTTTTTGCATGATCTGGTCTGAATTAGGTGCAGACAGTAAAGGAGGCAGTTAATCTGTAACAAAAGTCAGTGATTAGAAGAGGAAGAGGCGTAGTCTCTGGTCTCTCCTAGTCATTTACAACACAAAAGCAATGAGAAAGAGAGTTATTCTATAATCTAAGGATCAGAAGCTGTAACTACATTCTATGTGATTCAGATCACAGTCACATTTCTCTCAAGGCTTAAAGAGTTTTGAGGGTTCCAACAGCTTTTAAATTGTATGTGTTTTCACAGTGTAAACATAGAATGCATGTGCTTCACTTAGATATTGGTTAGAATATACTAGACTAGGAATTAAGGAAAATAATGCTTGTGATCTGTCAATAGTGATGTTACAAATCCGTACTGTAAAGTTCATACTCTTAAACCCTCACATTCCTCCCTCAATGCTTATTTCAGAATGGATAGAAATACAATGCTAGTGTAATATTATTTTACCTTATTTCTGCATTTTGGCATCCCAGAATGGTATATTGCATTTTCACTGCTATATAGGAAACTTCCCAGGGCTCTTAAGTACAGAGTTAATACTCTTTAGA